TCATTTTAACTTATTTTTAATATTTATTTTCATAAAATCTACTCTCAAATTAATTAAGGGAAAGTGACAATAAAAATATTTTAAATTATTGATATAATGAGGGATAACTCGGATGATTAAAATAAAGAAGAAGGGAATTTGAACGCAAAAATTATTGGTGGTATTAATTAGCTGAGAGTGTACAGAGTTTTATAGATATAAACAGGTGGATTGAAATAAATAGGAGGCCACCATGCAAAATCAGACTTAGTAAACAAAAAATAAAAAGACCTGAAGAGGACTTGCAACCACATGACAACCACACCTTAGGGTTCTTTCTTTTTCTCCTTATTTAATTCTATCTATTTACTTATCTCGCTTCAAGTCTTTCCTTTTTTCTGCGTCTTTCCCCTTGAGACAAATAATTATTTTATCCCTTTAAACTTTTTTTTTATCTTATTATCTTTTTAAATTATACAATATACTATATGCTTCCTAAAAATTAACACCATTAAACACTACTAAATGTAATAAAAAAAATGGTAAGATAACATAATTATTTGCAATCAATCCACCTTTCTCACACGACTATTCGATTTTTCCAAGTGAATAAGGTGATTTTGCATTGATCCTTTCGTGTTTCTAAAGTGATTTGCTTGCTGATTTATGAATGATGACTCTATGTCGGGCTTGACACACAGCTAACAGGGAATGCTGACTTTGTGATAGGCTTTGCAAAATGAGCTCTGTAAATGAGAAATGACAAATGGCTTTGTGAACGGTGAATGGCGAACAATTTTGTGAGTGGTGACTCTGTGATGGGTTTCTATTGCTGCAAATTGAAAATATAAAATTTCATATCTAAAATTAAATAAATTTTAGTCATATTTTAATTTAATATATGAGATTAAATTAATTTAATAATATTTATTAATAAATAAAACATATTAACTTAAATTTTAAAAATTTTAACAATTATAAAATAGATATTAATATTTAAAAAATTTAGTATTTAAATCATAGATTTTGGAATAAATATAAGAGTTGATTTAGTAGTGTTAATTCCATAGAATAAATAGAATTGAGAAAAAAATTTAAGGGAGTAAAATGATTTGTGCTCTTCTCCTTATTTGCAAATTTAAATCAATCTCACCAAATTTTCTTTCTTTTTCTCAATTATCTCCCACATTTGTCTTTCTCAGTAAGTTTTTTACAATTCTCTTTCTGTTTATGTATAAGTTCAAAAATATTTTCAATTTTAGTTATTTATCAAACAAACCCTAACACCAGCCAATTCAAAAAAATATTGAATTAGAGCATATAAAAAGAAGAAAAAATATTCAAATATATGCTCAGATCAAATATTTTTAGTGATAAAATTTCATTGAAGATTAGAAATAGGTGGAAAGTTGAATCTTTAATTCATCTTTTTTTGTTTCTCATTTAAATCTTTTATATATAAAATGGAAATGCTTTAACTTCTGCCAAAAAGTTTCTAATATCCTTATTTTTAAATTTTAAATTAAAAAATTAAAAATATTAACTTAAAGAGTCAAGCCACTAAACAATCAACCCTGACTAAAGAACCGTGGACTAATTTTAATTGCCTACAGAAGGAAGATAATAATGGAGTGAAACAGTGGCAGAAGTGTTTGCAAATCACTCATTTCATTTTAAACAAACATTATTTTCTGATTTAAAAAAGTAATAAAACCCATTTGGTAAGATTTTTCAATATTTTTATGAGAATTCCGAAAATAATTTTTGTTATTTTCTAAATAATGGCATGTATGTTTTTGAAAAATCTTACCAAACTGGGTTTTAACAGAAATTATTTCAGAATTCTCATAAAAATTATTATCCAGAAAATAGTTTTTGAAAAAACTTATGATCAAACCGGGTTTTATTGCTTTTGCATTCAGAAAAATAATGTTTTTTTTTAAGGTGAAATGAATAATTTGGCAAAGAAAATTCACAAACTCAAGATAGCAATTTTAAATAAAACACGTTTACACTATCCAGAAATGACATGGTTTATTGAGAAAAATATGAATACAATAAGATTATATTATGAAACGGTCATACGATTACGATCAAAAGATGACCAAATCTCTCATGTTTGACTCAACACATCATTCTAGAAGCAAACTTTTCTTTTCTCAAACTTCTTGTGCTTTCGTATTTTCCTAAAAGCTGCCTAATCTTTCTCTTTAACCCCTTCTTGCCAGGGTTGTGATGGGTCCTTTCTTCTCAATTTTACTGCGGCGACCAAACAGAAAAGGTGGCAGCTTCAAATCAGACACTCAGAGCCAGAGGTTTCGGTTTCTGACGGGGTTAACAGCTTGCTGGAGGTGCCAAGGATAGTACTTTTGCTTATATTATTAAATCACATTTAGTCACTTAATGAAGGATTGCTGATGATTACAAGAAAAAATACTATCAAGTGACGGATTTTGTTACTAAAGTTGTGTAAACCGAGAAGTATGAAAAGTTCAAGATGGAACTGAAAATTACAATTAAGAGGGGTGTTAGAAATATATTTTGTAATTTTCGTAAGGAAAAAACTTGGAAAAAGAAGTCATTACTCTTGACCGTTGGGATGGACAAGAAAAACTCTTCATATGTCCATGTATTTGGAATTTGACGATGAGTAATAACTTTGTTCTATAAGTGCTGAATCTAGCTTATAACTATTGTACTCAAGTTGTATTTGAATTCAGAAGAAAAGTTCAAGTTAAACAATGCAATTTTTCTGCGGTAAAATTTTTACATTGTCTAGTAAAATCTTTTGTCTTACTTCACTCATTCATCCAAGAAAAGAAAAAAAAATGCGACAAAGAAAACTAGATATATTAATTAGTTGATGGTGGAACATTGCTTTCTGATTTCACCGGAAGAGCCGGTGAGCACGCCGATTTTACCCATTTTCGCCATGGACTTTGCAAAATCCTCCATGAAAGTAGAACCGGCTGTGGTTGCCTGGAGTTGCACATAAGCATTGGTGGCGCTGTCTTTGAGAAGAGCTGCATCGGATTGAAGTAGACCTCTTCTTTTGCTAACAAGAGTGTAGTAATGTGCGTCAAATGTTCTGTGGCTTCCAGGATCCATCTCTACAAGTGTAGTGCTGTCCCCTGGCGGGCATTTTTTCTTCAACGCATCAATGTAGTTTTGGTCCATCGTTGGATCAGTACCACCTCGCCTATTGAAATTGTACAAGCGGTCTGAGAAGGCGTCGCAATGAGCAATTCCTATAGTGTGTCCTCCTTGAGAGAGAAAAAATGTAAACAATAATTTTAGTCTCCCTAGTTTGTAATTTATGATTCAGTTAATCGCAAAAAATGTTGTTAAATAGAATGTTTAACTTCTTCGGTTCTTAGATTACAAATCAGATTTTTTATGTGGTGAAACATCAGAGTTGTCGAGAATGTATAACTATTGCATTCAAAGTGCAAAAAAAAAAAAGAAATTGTTTCATGCTGACTTTTGAAATGCTTAGGTGCAAAATATTAGAATATTCATATGAAAAAAAAAATGATTTTTTTTGAAACTTTGGAAGACTAAACCTAGCATAGAGCATGGGTTAAGAGTTCAATTTTTAATTTACGAACTAATCTCACAGGTGATTTACTACTTGAAATAAGTTTTAGAATCAGAAAAATGATTCTCTATTTAAGGCATTAGCTAATGGCTTTCATTCCACACTTTGTTTAGATTTTTAAGAATCAATGCGTCGCAAAATGTGTAATTTACTCTGTCAAAAAGAGCATTTTTTATGTTGAGAGCAATCAAGGGGGATGTGGCTTTTGAAACTTCAAAGGCTGTGACAAGCTGATTATAGCCTGTAATTTGTAAATTACCCGATAAAACTACAAGGTCTTTATCACTTAAGCCCTTGGAGGCAAATGATGCTTTTAGTTGTGTTATGTTGAAAGCAAAAGATGGCAGATTAGCAGTGGCCGCTGAAGCAGTTGACACTCTCCCATCTCTGCGTCCCAAGGGGACTAGCCAAAAGGGTCCACCAATCTGATGGAAAACCAAAGAATTAAAATTATACATTTATACTGTAAGATACACATTCATGAATAATTATATACAAAGTGAAACATAAATTTTACCTGCGAAACGGCTTCACGAGCTACTAGGGCTAAGATGTCAGCACAGGAAACTACACCGGGACATTTTTTTTTCTAATGCTTTTTTCACAGAATCAATGACTTGAAAACCTCTAAGGCTAAGGTTGGGGTATGCATCTCTCTCAGCTTTGTTGTTCTTGGTGGAGTTTAATAGCACAGAACCATCGCATCCCTGCAAATATGACTTTGTTGGTAGATGAAAAACTAATATAGTGAACAAGAAGAAAGGGCAACCATGGGAAAGAATGAACAAACCCGAACAAAGCAATCGTGGAAATGCAATCTTAACAATGCAGCTGCAAGACTTGGTGCCCGGGAATAAAGTTTTTGGTTATGGCTTTGGCTATGTGCTTGGCAGAGGGGCATGATTTTTTGTAATAATCAAGTTTTAGGCTGTATGCATTAGCTAAGCCTAACACGGAGAGAACAAGCGTAAATTGAAAGAAAGTGAGGAGAAGCTTTGAGCTGGCCATTGTCTTGGCGAGCAATGCATTTTGTGGTTTTGAAAAGCTAGAATTTATAGTTGAGCTGAGGACTTTGGAGATGGAAAAGTTCTATCTTCTGAATTGTCAAATGCTTTAATGTTAAACATTAATAGAGGTTTGACTTGTAACCATACTACTATAACATCAAAATCCTTGCTCATGGTAGGTAAAATAGAGCTTACAACCAACCACCAAGGTGATATCAAGGATTTTCTGCCGACTGGCAAAAATAATAAGCACTTGAATGTAATAACGTGCTATAAGAGTGCGTCAACGGGTGCTAATTACAGCTTAATCATTCTATTTGGTTCTTTTTTTTTTCCCTAGGGCTAATTTTACAGTTTCATTTTGAGACTCATTGAGGGAAGATGCAATTTGACCTTTGTAAGAGAATAGAGGAGGTAATAATGCGGCGAAAGGCACAAACAAATCTAACTCTCAATTGGGACTAGAACAATTAGCAACTAGAGGAAAGTGTATCAGGAGATAAAATTTGTAAGGGAATCATCTACAGGGTGTTCTAACAGCAACTGTCAATTAAGAAATGTGACCTTCCGGGGAGTGGGTAGAATGAGTGGAAAGGAGGAGAAGCGTTGAAACTTCTAAAAGTGGACATGACTAAACGTATTAACCCGTAAGAATCATTAAATCGTAATCAGCAACTTGCTCACGGACAGCTTGTCTAAAATTGTCGTGAGAGAGGGCATGATGTGATTGTGCAACGAACACGTTCGAGGTGAAGTAATTTTTGTATATGCATAGATTTAATCCGCCTCCTGCTACATTTGTAATTTAGTCCCTTGCATAAATTGATATTCTGGACTTGTAAAAAGAAAAGAAAAGAAAAGAAAAGAAAGAAAAGCTTAGTGTAATTTGCAATTGCAAAACGAATCGATTTGGCTATATCCAGGGAATTTTCTTGGTATTCTCGGACGTAGAATGTTTACCACAAGAGTTCAGTTTTATACCGTTTTGATAGTGACAGTCTCTAACAATTTTCATTCTTAATTTCAACCAACAACCTTAATATCCAATAATAATCATTCTCAAGATAGAGCCTTACAAGCAAGGTAAAAATTAGCTTCAATTCCTCTATATTAAGTTCATTTTCCAGGCTAAAAACACTGAATTTAAAAGTCTCGTTTAATTTCAAAATTTTGGCAGCTCGATTTACACTGTTTCAATCAATTAAAATTCAATTTTGGCTTTTTCATAATTTTCATAAATTTCCAATTGCTGTTCCTTTGAATTTGTATATCTACTTCACTAGTCAGTAAGAGATCTAATCAGTTAAAATTCAGTTTTGGCTTTTTCATAATTTTCATAAATTTCCGATTGCTTTTCCTTTGAATTTGTATATCTACTTCACTAGTCAGTAAGAGATCTAACAGTTGTTGCATGGTGAAGAACAACTGAAGAGAAATTAGTGTCCTTTTGTTGCAAAAATTATATACTTAGGGATCGTTTGATAAATTTGATAAAGGCGAAAAGTTATTCATTCTTATCCAACTTTCTCTAAGAGTTGGTACACTTAATAATAAAATTGGATAAAAAGTTTGAATAAAATAATTATCCAACTATATTTCGATAAATTATATGTATAAATTTTATGGGAGGAGGGGTGAGATAATATGTTTAACTTTTATCTAGTTTACTTGGATAATATCATCCATATTATTTATATGCCATCTACCATCGCCCGTTGGTGGTGGCAGTAGTCGTTGTCTGCCATTGCCCCTAATCATGATCACCTGCTGTCATTGGCCATCACCTGTCACGCCTTCACCACCACCAATTACCTGCCACTGCCGGCCATCCACTCGCCACCATCTCTTGTTGCCTTGCCATCTACCATAACTGCTCACCATACCCACCACTCACCCCTACCACTGTCACTAAAAAATGAAATAATACTTTGGTAATTACATGTTTATTTGGTATTTACCTAAACTTAAGTTTAATTTACTAAAAATGATATAATAACTCAAAATATTATACAGTTTGGATACTTTATTTGGGTGTTGCCCAATCTTTTCTTATTCGATTCAATCTACTAACAAGCCATAAACGTATGCAGTTGCCTATTATGCAACATCAATGTCCATATCCTCATTAGTCTAATCCTTTCTTCCCTCTGTTGCACGTTTGTAGAAGTATTTAATTCTCTTTTAATAGCAACCAAACCAAGTCTTAGCCGTCGGATGAAGCATGAGACTTCTGTTAGCAAGAAACTATCATGTCCTTCGTTGACTTATCCTCAATAAAATTAAAATTTATAATAGGAGGCTTAATTGCTGAAACGAATGGTAACCACCAAATAGAAATAAATTTTAAATTAAGCATAAGAAATAACATTAGAATTCACCCATTTTATTTATTCAATCTTACCTAATTTATAATAATAATAATAATAATAATAATAATAATAATAATAATATTATTATTATTATTATTTGGAGAGCATTACAACAATTGAGAGTGAGGAAGAGTGGAATATTATGATCCCTTTGTGGCCACCCAAACTAGTTCCTTGGAATTAATGTTAACTTATCAATCCCGGCAACCAAGTAATGTTGACCCAGCAGAATACAGGGAACGGGAGGATAACAGCACAGCAACGTGGCAATTTTGTTTAACGCATGCATCGTGCGGGAGGGAACCGGTGTATTTGATGATGACGCAGTCAGTTAATTTTATTAAATGTTTGATATATATACATATATATATATATTATATCAAATCCTGTTACACTTAATCAAAATCCAACATTAAATACAATTTGTGATTATTGATATTCATTCCAAGTTTTCACAATACATTAATTCGCGGTAGTTGGTCCGTCGAAAGCCTCTGAAAGTCCGTTTCCAATAGACTTGCGAGTCTATTTCCTTGTTTGTTTATTTATTTATCTAGTTTTTTTTACAATAACAAGCTCCTGAACAGATAAATATATTGTGTTTTTATATATATTAACCAAATATCCCCTCAAAATAAATATAATCATTTTGTTAAATTAAATAACAAAAATGTCAAATTTTTTAGTGTCATCACAAAAAGGTTTGGAACTCAAATTTAACAATTCCAAAGTCCCTTACACTAATAATTTATTGAATTTAAATCAATGACTTAAGATATTTAAGTTCAAATTTTTCAATAATAACATTTGAAACAGTTTGAGAGCTATTGATGAGTTTAAACTACTTGTTTAAAATACTCAAACCCAAATTATTTTTAATAATCCTTTATTCTGATATTATTTCTAACGATCTGAAAGTTATTAACTGTAACAACTTTTTGAATATGAAGTACTAATTCAAAATACTTAAATCCAAATTATTTAATAATTGGATTATAGTCTCTTGTATAAAAATATGATATTACACTTTTTAGTAAGGGTTTTAATATTTTATATTCTTAACTTGAAAAGAATTAGTCTTAGGTCAAAATTAGTTTTGTAGAGAAATCCTTCATTTCATTAAAAAAAAAATATCATACTCAAAATTTGATATTGGATAAGATATCATGGAAAACAAATTTATAATCTAGATCTTGCATTATATTATTTTTACAAATTTATGTGATCTTGGTATTGGTAGCACTCTTTTTTGCATAAATTACATTTTGATACTTGTGACTTCATCAAAGATTAATTTTAATGCATTTAATTTCAACCATAACATATTTAATGTCAATATTTTAAGATAAAAATTAACATAATTAGTTATTCCAGATAAAAAAATCTTAATGTTTTCACAAAAAAATCTTACTTTTTTGAAAAATATGTCCTTAGTCAGGAACTTTTTTTTTTTTTTTTTTAATATTACTTCTACTGACCTTAGTTAAACTAAGACTCTCTCATATGTCCTGCAGATATGGAGAAACTAGGGGCCTGTCTAATTTGTAAAAAATGTTTTTTATATTTATTTGTTGAAAATGATTTTTATTTTTAGATTTTGGAAATAATGAAAATATGTTTGATATAATTTATCATTTTTTGTTTTTAGGAAGTGAAAATAATGAAAATATGGTTGGTGTACCAATTTTCATTTAATTTAAAATAACTATTTAATTGATTAAAATTAGAGTTTAGAGTTTTTGAAGGGAGTTTAAGTGCACAAATCAAAAATTTTAGAGGTTATATAGAGGTCTAAAACTTTTAAGCACCAGTTTGAATAATAAAGAATAAATAAGGGGCTAAATTGCAAACAATTTTCACTGTTCATCATCCATGTCCTATCCCTCTTCTACGTCAAGCAATAGCAATACCAACCACCGTCTGCCCACTATCTATTGTTGCTTGTCATCGGCTTGAATGGCGAAGGAGGTCGAGTCCCATTGCGCCACTTGCCATATTCTCCTTCATAGCAGCCTATTGTCCCAGCTTACCTCTTCCCTCATTTCCTCTCTCTCCATCTCTTTCTTCCTCCAATCTTCCCAACCAGCTACATCCAATCTATTAGCCGCATCAAACCTCCAATCCCAGCCACCTTTGTTGTCTCTTTCCCTTAATCTCCTTCCTGTTGCCCAATGGCTCTCTCCCTCCATTCTTGATCCCTCCCTCCCTCCCTGATTGCTCTCTTTCTCTATTCTTAAAACTATCTCCTTGAAACTCTCTCTCTTCCTGAAACTCGATTCCTTAAACTAATCCCTTGAACTCTTCTCCTTTCACTTCAATTATTCAATCACTCCATCCCAATTCGACCATTGAAGGAGGCCAGGGAGGAATTGGGGATGAGAGGATGAATAGTAGAATGAGAAGTATGAATACTAAAAAGAAAGGAAAAACAAAAAATTGGATTAATTACCATTCCGCCATTGTGTTTCCACTTTTTGGTGGAAAAATGAAGAAAGCAACTTTGTTATTTTTCGAGCTTACTTTTAGAAAATGATCTTTAAATATAAAAATAAAAATGGTATATACCAAATACATTTTTAAAGTTATTTTCTATTTTTATTGAAAATAAAAATAGAAAACACCTAATTAAATAGGGCGAGACTTGTGTATGAAAAAGGTGGGACATTTGTGTCCATTTATTGCAAAAATTGTATACATAGGTGATGTAACATCG